CACACACTGGCCCAGCTAACCAATCACAGCACACACTGGCCCAGCTAACCAATCACAACACACACTGGCCCAGCTAACCAATCACAACACACACTGGCCCAGCTAACCAATCACAACACACACTGGCCCAGCTAACCAATCACAGCACATTTCGTATTTCAGAAGGCGGGCCTTCATTTGATACAGGAACTATTCGAGCAGTTCATGCCAGACTGGGGAGAGAGGTGTTGTAATAATGTCAAATATGTGAAAAATAATGTGTGTTTTTTTCCGAACAACCTAGTATGAGAGCCTGTTCTAGTACACCCCCAAAACAAAATCAAGACTTTGTAAAGGAGCATAATAGGACCCCTTTAATGTTTCTGATGTCTTTATAGTCACATTGAGCAGGTTAGAGCTGGATGATAGAATGGTTTATATTAGCAGACGGTATAAACAACAATATACAACAATCACACAACTCTGCTCTTATTTGACATGATTTTAAGTGATTATTGACACATGACAGTGTTACATCTTTAAGTAATCACTCAATATCAGTTCAGTCATTCTATCTTTGGAAATTTCTACAGATTTTGTCGAGATGTAGTTGAGACTGTTATAATTTGTGCATTTTGATTCACTTAAAGCTGCAATTTTGTCAACTTGATTGACTAAAATTTGACATTTACAAATGAAAAGGAAAGATCAAAGTATAATGCTTAACAGTATTGTTAAGTATTACATTTGTGTATCCTTTGTTTGTGTTTTTGGCACGTAAAACATATTGCATGTTAATTTAGTGAATTTATACTTTCCTTTGAGTTTGACTGTGTTAAATGTAGGACATATATAATATGAATAATTTCATATAACAGTCTGAACTGAAGTCAAATATCACAAGAGCGACATTATCTGTATATCAACATGACTTTGAAATAATATTGTGACCGATATATCATCAAAGTGAATAATATCTTGTCTCCGATGCACCGCTATGATAAAGACCGTTTGTGTAAAGATCACGTGATCTACACTGGTAATTGTTTTGTACTTGAAGGGTTTATTTTTATGGATGAATGTGTTTGTGATCTGCAGGGTGAAGTCGTGATCCAGTATAACAAACTGCAGGCCGACCCGAAGCAGGGCAAATCTCTGGATATCGGTAAAAACTACCAAACTCTGCTAGCTTTGTGTGTTTGAAGGGATGCAGAAGTGTGTTTCTCTCTGATGAAGTAGCTCATGTGTGTGTGTGTGTTTGTGTGTGTCAGTGCTGAAGAAGGTGAAGCATCGTCTGGTGGAGAACATGAGTTCAGGAACCGCAGACGCTCTGGGACTCAGCAGAGCCATTCTGTGCAATGGTCAGATCAGTTCCACTATTTAATCACTCATCCAATACAACACTTGTTTCTGCACATATTAAACAACTACAGTACTCATAAATAGATCACTATGTAAATTATGAATAATTTTTTCACCTTGCACTAATGAGAACAAGTTCTGTTGCATGACATAATCTTTGCTTGGAAACGCCATCATTGATGTGTGGATATAATGTGTGCCATGAGAAATCAAGCATGTGTGTTGTGTGTTGTAGATGGTCTAGTGAAGAGGCTGGAGGAGCTGGAGAAAACCGCTGAACTTTATAAAGGTGATTCATTCGTACTGTTACTGCATTAAACCAGTGCCTGAGAGAGTTTACTCTGGAAATAATCTGTGTTTGTGTGTGTGTTTAGGACTGATGGAGCACACAAAGAGACTTTTAAGAGCTTTCTATGAGCTCTCGCAGACTCACAGAGGTACAGTAGATTTGTACATCTTTATTCATCATATGATTCGTTATAGGCTGCTATAAAGAGTTTCTCCTGCTGAAAGTTCATTTTATTGACCAAAAACTGGTTTGTTTTCAGAATAGACTGGTAAAACATCCCCTTTGAGATGAGATTCTCAAAATGTGTGTCTAGTTACACACACTAACAACATCAGGCCGTGTAGTGGAAGTAATGCTAAGTCTGACCGACAAAACACTCCATAAAATCATCAGATGTGTGATAAAATGTTTGTTTTTCTCTCTCAGCTTTTGGTGACGTGTTTTCCGTCATCGGTGTCCGTGAGCCACAGGCCGCCGCCAGCGAAGCCTTCGTGAAGTTTGCTGAAGCTCATCGAAACATGGAGAAGTTCGGCATCCAGCTGCTGAAGACCATCAAACCCGTAAGAGAGCAGATCTGAACGAGTTTGTATTTTTACAATGAGATTAATATAGATGTGTGTAGAGTAACTGTGACATGCAGAAATAAAATATATGATGTTGTGCTGTCAAACGATTAATCTCATCTAAAATATATGTTTTTGTTTGTGTAATATGTGTCTGTACGGTGTATAGTTATTATGTATAAATATACACACACGTGTATGTATATATTTAAGAAAAATATGTTGTTTATACATTAAATGTATTTATATATAACAAATTATATTATTATAAATGTATACATGTAAATATTTTCAAAATAATATATACTGTATGTGTTTGTATTTATATATACATGATAAATATACACAGTACACATACATATATTATGTAAACAAAAACTTTTATTTTAAAAGCGATTTAGGGACTAATCGCAATTAATCGCAAAAAAAGTATTTATATATACACGATAAATATACACAGTACACATACATATATTATGTAAACAAAAACTTGTATTTTAAAAGCGATTTAGGGATTAATCGCAATTAATCGTTTGACAGCACTACTATGATGTGAAACAACTAAAAGTAACCTACATAAAAACATTTCAATAAGCAAAAAAAAAAAAACATTTACTAAAAATGTCATGTTTAACTGTATGTGACCATTAACTGTTGTCAGAGAGCCGTGGACATACAAATTTGTTGTTAAATTATATATGTAACTTAAGATATTAACTTAAAATCTCAGGGGCACTTAAAAATAATTATTTTAGCTCCAAGGGGTTTGGCTGATGAGAACGTCCATAAATCCCTGATCTCTACAGTGTTTAGTATGTAGAATGTAGAGTAACTGAAACATGCATGGGAAACATCATTTATGGTGAAGAACAGTTGAAAACACAATGAAACCTTGTGTAAACATTATTTCACGAGACAAATGTAATAAATAATATTAATGCTGTCTGTTTGTCTGTCAGATGCTGCATGATCTGAACACGTATCTGCACAAAGCGATTCCTGACACCAAACTCACCATCCGCAAATACCTGGATGTCAAGTTTGAGTACTTGGTATGAGAACAGCCAGAAGATTCACTCATCGTTGTCTACTGAATTGAGATGTTACATTAACAGAGGGATTTTGAGAGTGTTTATGTTGAAGTTTATTGATGTGTGTTTGTTTTTATTCAGTCGTACTGTCTGAAGGTGAAGGAGATGGATGATGAAGAGTACAGCTGTATCGTAAGTTCATTCACTCTCTCCGCTCATCATTTACTCATTAACTAACCAATAGTCAAACCGTCTAAATCATGAGGGGAATCAGCTCAAGATCATTTGACTCTTAAAGAGTCTAAAGACTCTTAAAGAGATAGTAGGTGTATATGACTTTCTTCTTTCAGACGAATCCAGTCGGAGTTATATTAAAAATTGTGTTTGATCTTTTAAGCTGTTTAATGCCACTCAGTGCGTGTTGCATGCATCAGTCCAAAAGAAGTTAAAGGGGTCATATGACGTTGCTAAAAAGAACATTATGTTGTGTATTTGGTGTAATGCAATGTGTTTATGCGGTTTAAGGTTAAAAAAACACATTATTTTCCATATACTGTACATTATTGTTTCTCCTTTCTGAAACGCGTAAATTTTTATCGTTCTAAAAAGCGTGTGACGGAAATGTTACGCCCCTTACCATATTGTGATGCCGCCGACTGGTTTCATCTGAAAGAATAAAGTCATATACACCACACCTAGGATGACTTGAGGGTGAGTAATTTATAGGCTAATCTTCATTTTTGGGTGAACTAACCCTTTAATACATTGTTACTGTTTAAACCTCTGTAACCTGTTTACTGATTGTAAAGAGTGTTTTGGAGGTGGAGGATCCAGTTCAGTGTTGAACTTTGACCCTGATACAGTCCTTCATGCTGATCAGGAATATTTTTTAATTGTCAAAAATTCTGCTATAGAGACATTAAAATGCATCTTGCTGTTTTAGATTTACAATTTAATATGCAATGTTTTTTTTTTAATTCTGTATTATCGCTAACTGATGCCAAAGTGCAAAAGATACACAAATTTTATATTACTGATAAATATGAGGAAATTTCAAAAGAAATGTAAAAACAATTGTGAAAAGTATGTTCTTATAAATAAATGATACACTCACTTATTTTAAATAGTAAAATAAATATTAAATTATTCAAATGCATTGCAAGATATGCAATATTTTCTGTGTTGTTGTTAGATAATATTGCCAGTGTGCCAGATTTTTTAAAATAATTATGATTCAACACAATTTTATTACTGCTAATCATGAAAAAGTGCAAAGTTTTAACAAGATTCAGATGTAGGGCTTGATATATCCACATTTAACCCCAATTTGTATAAATATGTTACTGTTAAAGACTGTAAATCATGTGCAAATAATTATGCAGAAAGCATGCAGACTATTGTATGAAAATTAAAATGCATGAACTCTTTTTATACATAAATGCATGTTACGTAATATTGCACATTACATGTTTGATGTGTTGTTGTATAGTAACTAAAGCCAGGCTTTGCTATACATATTACTGTTAATTATGTGAAAATGAGCAAAAAATTTTATAAACTGGAAATTAAAGGGGTCATATGATGCTTTTTTTAAAGATCATTATTTTGTGTATTTGGTGTAACAGAATATGTTGACATGCTTTAATGTTCAAAAAACACATTATTTTTCAAATACTGTACATTATGTCGTGGAAGTCGTGGCCTAATGGTTAGAGAGTTGGACTCGTAACCCAAAGGTTGTTGGTTCGAGTCTCGTACCGGCAGGGATTGTAGGTGGGGGGAGTGAATGTACAGCACTCTCTCCCACCTTCAATACCATGACTGAGGTGCCCTTGAGCAAGGCACCGAACCCACAACTGCTCCGGAAAACTTGAAATCGCATCATATGACCCCTTTTAAAAAAAAAAAAATGCTTACTTGCTTATTTAACCCTCTGTGTTTGCGTGTGTTTCAGGCGTTAGGAGACCCGTTGTACCGCGTCAGCACCGGTAACTACGAATACCGTTTAATTCTGCGCTGTCGACAGGAAGCTCGCGCACGATTCGCCAAGATGCGCAAAGACGTTCTGGAGAAAATCGAACTCCTGGACCAGAAACATGGTTTGTTCAGTTGAAAACAAACGCATCAGAAAGCATCACATGATCTGTTTTACAGCGGTTTAACCCTTTCCATTCTCTCTTCAGTCCAGGATATCGTGTTCCAGCTGCAGCGCTTCGTCTCAGGGATGTCGCGCTATTACGACGACTGCTATGCCATGCTGAAAGAGGCCGACGTGTTCCCCATCGAGGTGGATCTGTCCCGAACCATGATCAACTACAGCGCACAGAGTCTCTCATATGAGGAGGAGGAGGAAGAGATGAGCAGAGGAGGAGAGGACGACGCTCCGCAGACTGAGAACGGAGCCGAGAAACTCATCGACGACGAGTGAGTGAGCAAACGAATGAATTATCAGATGAAATAATAAAGAAATCAATGAAGGGAAAGTGAACGATCTCATTGTGACAGAAAGAACTACAGATTGAGAGAGTATGTTCAATGTAAGATGATTGATAAATAATATGAATAAAAGCATTATATATTACATATTTATATATGATATTTAATATAAAATTTCTATATTGATAAACTACATTTTCAAATCACTGGTCAGACAGAAACGGAATCACTGGTTGCCATGTTACATACTACAGAATAGAATGTTACCTTTGGTTGCTATAGTGACAGAATTTAAACTTTTAATCAAACATTCTTTGTTTAGAGTCTTTGTATTCTGTTTCAAAACATTTCAAATGAGCGGGACCTGAAGTTGAGTTGTCTGTGGTTTTGCACAACTTGTGTGAGTTTTTCTCTTTTCTGCCTTTGAAACACTGGATGAATGTCTTTAAAGAGCAGGTGATATGGTATTTTAAAGTGTCCTAATATTGTGTTGGAGTCCCCTACAACAGGTTTAAATGCATCTAAGGTCAGAAAACATTGTAATTTTCTCAGAATATACATTTAATATTAGAGTCATTTGGCAATGATTTCGAAACGATTCGTTCCAAGCAAGTTCGGAGCAAACCCCTCCCTTGCATAAGCCTACTCTGCTCTGATTGGTCAGCTGGCCAAGCCTGTTGTGATTGGCACAGAGAGGAGTCCTTGAGCAAGTTAGCGAGCGCTACCATTGACAAAGCACCTTTACATAAAACAATAATATAGTGCTCCAATCCGTTCTTATAATAATGACATAAAATGCAAAAATACTTATGCAAGCGAATCGTGCCCACAGCTAATGTTTTGCTGCTTAACTGTGAACACTTAAAACAATAATGGTGGATACGTTAGCCGAGTGCTAATGTGACTAACTGATGAAACAATACAGTTTGTAAACCAAAATATGTCTACTGTAATGTTTGAAGAACGACAGACAGAAGACGCTCTGTCTTACCTTTTAATCAGAACGCAGTACAGCTGTATCACAGGCGCAGCAGCCTAACTAACTCGCTCGTCTCTCCCGCATTAACCATATAACTGCCGTGCAGCAAAATAAACTGCAATTTCACAATGATTATAAAGTCTGTGTGCTACACTAAATTCTTTATTATTAAACGAAGTAATTAGAACAACGTCAGTCTACATTAATCGACACATTCTTAGGAAATAGTGGGTTCACAGCGAATTATCAGAACTACTTCAGTAAGACAGTAATATCGTGCTTTACCTGGAAACCTAAAGCTGCACTAGGTATACATCACATATTAGCACAAAAACTTGATATTTTGAGCACTCAATTGAAAATGTACACATAACGTATCAATCGTACTTACAGGTTGTGCTTCGGAGAGCTTGTTAGTCCAAATTAAGAAGAGTAGAAACCAACAAAGATAAAAGCCAAGATTAGATAAGCAGTCCTTGGTAAAATGACATGCACACAACAAAAGGTTCGAATTGTATTTCTGTGGTATCCTTGAACACAGCGTCTTCTCGACATGATGTAAACACACTAACTAGTGGAAGTGTTTGTGGGCAGGTTGGACTCTGTTCGTATTTCGCGGGCAGGCGGAGATTATGCAATTGTGTTACCCAGTGACGTATATCGGTAACAGGCAGAAGATTCGAAAATATGACAACTCGTTAAGGCGATTCAGAATCGACTCTCTCTTTTGAGAGACAGTATCTTTATTTATCATGCACTTTTTTGATTAACAACTTTGCAGATTGTTTTCATTTAAGGATAGCTACGTTATAAACTGCAAAAGAGATATTTTTCAAAAACCCATATGACCTGCTCTTTAAGTTCCAGTGATCTGAACATTTCACTGTTGATGTTTTTTTTGGGGTGTTTGGGGTTATTTAATTTAACTCAGCTGTGTAAATGTGGTTTATGTACGTCCTAGAAAGATGAAATGTCTGAAGGCTAGAAAAAGAGTTTGATGAAGAAGAAACCTGCTACGTGTGAGTAAAAATGTGAATCAAACTTGTTTTATGGGCTTTCTCATTAAACATCTGAGTTTCAGCAATACTTGTGGTGTTTTCCATCTCTGAATGATTCATGTTGGCATGATGAGCAGAAGCTCAGAACCGACTTCTGGCTTTTTTAAATGGATTAACCTCTTTAAAGTGTCTGAATCGGAGGTTTAATGATCAAAATGCACAACTTTGGGTTTGAAAATGCACTAATAAACTAAAATTATTTTCTTCAAATTCTGTTTTTAAACAGGTTTCGACTTGCTAATTATTGTTTGATTAAAACTTTTAAAACTTATTAATATTATTGGTTATATTATTAATGGGTTAAAATTTGTGTAACGCCCTTCATGAGCCAAATGAGCTGTACATGTTTTTTTAATTATCAGGCTTTGATTTGTTTTAAATTTGTATTTAAATAAAAGAAAATTAAACCAATTTAGTCCTTCTAAAAAAAATAACTTGTTTTAAGGGTTTAACTAGTTTACTTTTCATTTACCTAATGTAAATTCAGTTGTTCTCTAGTTCAGATTCTCTTTCAACTTTTAGTGCTATGAAAACTTAGAAGTATAATCATTATAAAAACGGCGTCTTAACTTCCAAAAAGTGTTCTTTCACACCGTTTATTTTCAGCTAGCATATTGGTAGTTTAATACCGTAATTTGTTATAACGACAAATTAATTTCAGTTAAACTTAAATTAAAGATTTTACTAGCGTCGAGCGGTCACATGATGCCTCACTGGAGTCGGATTGGACGCCTTTATAAGTGTCTCCGCCCCTATCCTTGTGTCGTCCGCCCCAGTGGCCTAATGGATAAGGCACTGGCCTCCTAAGCCAGGGATTGTGGGTTCGAGTCCCATCTGGGGTGAAGCTTGTTTTTCTTTCTTCAATGTCTGTCAGTGTTTATGGTGTCATTCAGTGTGTGTCAGTCGCGTCTTATAAACGTAGTTTCACGTTATCTCGTGTGTGTCCGTGAGGATCTCGCCGGGAGTTATTCATATCGTTTTGTCACAAGGAAGCTCTTTGCTGACAGACTTCCCACTTTATTTTCAGTTTCTGCGCTGCACGTGACTAAACATCGACACAAACATGAAGAACAGCAGCATTTGTGTTTTAATTCTCGCCTGTTTTGCTGCATCAGCGAGAAGCGACAGTAAGCAACTGGTTTATTTAACCTTGACTTTCATAAAGCTTGTGTTGTTATATCGTGAAGTGAATGTTTTATGTTTAAATGACCATATGTTCAGTGCAAATCCGCGTCTGATCTCTTTAAAACACTCTGCTTTTGTTTCGCTCATAAGTCATAAGTGTGTTTTAAGTGTGTAAGAGAGGAATTGACTAACGCTGCAGGTTTGTCTATTATATGATCATGAGCAGACTTGGAGAAGCACATGATCATATAAAACTCAATCTGAAACCTGATATGTGACTGCCGTTACTATATGGTTACTTGACAAAGATAGCAAGTTGTATGGAAATATAATATTTTCCCACAGAAAGTTGTTGATAGAATAGCAATGCACAAAAACAATAAAAGAATTTGAAAATCTTATTGTTGTCTTTTCTGAGGTATATAACATTAAGTGACTATTCACGAGCTGTTTTATTCACAGTATAATACAGTAAATGATTGGAAATATTTCACCGCTTCAAATGCATTCATTATTTGTAACGGACCAGTAATCCCAATAAGCTTTGTGCTTTGTTGCTATAAGACAGCTCAGCTTCCAAATTCTGTCCGTTTTATCACGAAATACAAATTATGAACGTGTTTTTCCTCTTTATTTCAAGTTATAGCATGATATAAACTTGAAGGAACATCAGAAGGCATGGAAAAAACAGTATAGCCTAATTTAATGAAACTGATGTCTCATTGTAATCGGAAATATGATTGATTCACATGCCACTTAAACTGAGGCAAATACAACTATAAAACTGACAGAATTTGAAAGCTGAGGCTTTGGAATTTCTCCCGGTGCTCCCCATCCGGCCCATTTGCATGCGCAATATAGGCTATACTGTCAAAATATAATAACTTTAATCTAGGGTTGCACGATTATGACAAAAATCATAATTGTCGATTATTCCCTTGAAACTGTAATTTTACGATTATCACAATTTACATTGAATGATGTTTATACCATTGTTTTATGCAACTGCATGCCGTATTTTTATATGAAAATAAGCTGAAAACACTCTAACTGAAAAACTGCTTTTCAATAGTATTAAGCCTCAAATGTCAAATATACAGGTGCATCTCAATAAATTAGAATGTCGTGGAAAAGTTCATTTATTTCAGTAATTCAACTCCAATTGTGAAACTCGTGTATTAAATAAATTCAGTGCACACAGACTGAAGTAGTTTAAGTCTTTGGTTCTTTTAATTGTGATGATTTTGGCTCACATTTAACAAAAACCCACCAATTCACTATCTCAACAAATTAGAATACTTCATAAGACCAATAAAAAAAACATTTTTAGTGAATTGTTGGCCTTCTGGAAAGTATGCTCATTTACTGTACATGTACTCAATACTTGGTAGGGGCTCCTTTTGCTTTAATTACTGCCTCAATTCGGCGTGGCATGGAGGTGATCAGTTTGTGGCACTGCTGAGGTGGTATGGAAACCAGGTTTCTTTGACAGTGGCCTTCAGCTCATCTGCATTTTTTGGTCTCTTGTTTCTCATTTTCCTCTTGACAATAAAAAATGGAAAAACCCTTAAGATAACATGTAGAAAGAAAACAAAAAGAAGCATCTTAAGCACAGAATAACATAAGTGGACTTTGAACGATTAATTGCCGCTTTGAACGATTACGTAATTGTGGCATCCATAATTGTAATCGCGATTAGAAATTCGATTAATTGTGCAGCCCTACTTTAATCTCATAAATGCTACGACTTAATTCTCATAATTTTGACTTTATTCTCAAAATACTACGACTTTAACCTCGTAATCTTAGTTTGTTTTTTTTTACGTGCCACTAAAATGCTGTTGTAACAAATTACTTGAATATCTACAGTAAAAATATATTTTTATTAAGACTATATCCGTAATTTTTTTCCCATTTTTTTTTTTACTTTAAAATGAAAAAAATAAATAAAATCTTACTATAAAAATGAGTTAAATGGTTAAAAAATAGTTTATTGTTCTTTTATTAAGGATCAATTTCCTTTTTCTCCTGTATCTTTAAAAATGATGCAAACATTTAGGAAAAGTTTTTATTTGTTTTATGAAGGTTATATTTCCTTTATTTTTCCTATTTATTCATCTGGTTTTTTTTTCTTAAAAAGTTATTTAAACATGTAAAAAGTATTTAAGGCTCCATTTCCATTATTTGACTTAAATTTCTTTTAATTGTCTTATTTCTTACATTAAAATACCATAAACATTTTTAAAAAGTTTCACCGGATTTAACGGTGTTTTCACCGAAAACAATAAAAAGAAAATAATTTTTCATAAATACAATTCTGCAGTTTATTTAAGTGAAGGTCTGTTAGTACTGGTCAGTGTGTTTGTATCTCGTCTCTGAATCATGTTTGCATCTGTAGAAGCTGAAGCTGGCCTTGATCGGGCATTTACTCCTGTCTCTCTCTGTAGCCTCTGTCCCAGTTTGCCATTCAGTTCCTGAATGCGGTCGGTGATCTGCTGGATCTGATCCCAGCGCTGGTTCCCAGCAGGACGTCCGGCTTTAAGCAGTATAAAGCTCCTCCGATGGGACACTGCTCTGCGCTCATAAAGGTACCAAACAACATCATGATAATTGACATCAAGATACAGCGGATGTGATGGTTTCTCTCATCTGCCGTGTGTTTCAGATGTTGCCAGACTTTGAGAACCTGTTGTTCGCTCACTCCAGCTGGTACACATACGCTGCCACCATTCGCATCTACAAACACTGGGACTTCAGACTGAACGAGCCGCATACAGCCACCGGAAGACTCTCCTTCAGCAGCTACCCTGGTACACACACACACATACATTCATTCACTTACTCTACTCACTCATAAATTGATTGATTCATCACTCGCTCATTCACTCACTTTCTCTCTCATTCATTCATTCATTCACTCATTTATTCATTTACTAAATCATTCATTGATTCATTCATTCACTTTCTCTCTCATTCATTCATTCATTCACTCATTTATTCACTTACTAAATCATTCATTGATTCATTCATTGATTCATGCATTCATTCACTCACTCATTCACGCATTGAGTCATTCACTCTATTTATTCATTCATTCACTCACTCATTGAGTCATTAGTTTATTCATGCACTCATTCATTTGTTCATTCATTCATCCATTCGCTCCTTCACTAACTCACTCATTCATTCATTTACTCACTCACCTATTTGCTGATTCATTCATTCACTCGCTCGCTCACTCATTAATTGATTCACTCACTCATTTGCTCATACATTCACTCATTAATTCGCTTATTCATTCATTCATTCACTCACTCATTCTCTCACTTGCTCATTCACGCACTCATTCATTTGCTTACTCACAAATTAATTCACTCATTCATTCACTTGCTTATTCACTCACTCATTAATTCGCTTATTCATTCATTCATTCACTCACTCACTCATTCATTTGCTTACTCGCATTCATTCACTCATTCATTCACTTGCTTATTCACTCACGCATTCATTCGCTTGCTCGCTCATTCATTCATTTATTCATTCACTCACTCATTAATTCGCTTATTCATTCACTCATTCATTTGCTTGCTCACTCATTCACTCGCTCATTCATTCATTTATTCATTCACTCACTCATTAATTCGCTTATTCATTCACTCATTAATTTGCTTGCTCACTCATTCACTCGCTCATTCATTCATACACTCATTCATTTGCTTATTCATTCACTCAGTCACTCACTCATTCATTTACTTGCTTGCTCATTCATTAATTTACTCACTCATTATCTCACTTACTCGCACATTCATTCACTCGCTCACTCATTCATTTGCTTATTTATTCACTCACTCGATCACTCATTCATTCTCTTTCTCACTCACTCATCCATTCGCTTATTAATTCACTAATTCGCTTGCTCACTCATTCATTCAGTCACTCACTCAATTATTCACTCAGTCATTTATTCACTTGCTCAGTCATTCACTCACTCATTCATTCAGTCCCTCGCTCACTCACTCACTCACTCATTCACCCACTTGCTCACTCAATTGTTAAATTTCTCACTCAATTATTTGCTCATTCATTCGCTTGCTCATTCATTCACTCACTCACTCACTCATTCACTTGATCACTCATTCATTCACTTGATCACTCAAACATTCGTTCACTCATTCATTCACTTGCTCACCCATTCATTCACTCACTTGCTCATTAATTCGCACACTTTCTCATTCAGTTATTAATTTGCTTACTCATTCTTTCACTCACACACTCATTCATTCATTAATTTCTTCACTTATCCATTCACTCATACTCATTCACACACTCACTCATTTCACTCTTTTTTTTTTTAGTTATTTATAATGTACTGCTTTTAAAGTAGTAGGGCAGTGTGCGTTGTGTAGTTTTTAATATTGAATTCATGTATATTTAGTGTTTGTAAAGTAGCAGGCAGTTTGTAGTTTCTGCAGCATGTGAATGTCTGTGAATGTGTGTTTAGGGTTTCTGGTGTCTCTGGATGATTTCTATCTACTGGGCAGCAGTCTAATGATGACTCAGACCACCAATAACGTCTTCAACACCTCGCTGTACTCCTACATCACTCCTGCCAGCCTGTTCTCCTGGCAGAGGGTTCGACTGGCACACGCACTGGCAAACACTGGAGAGCAGTGGGCCAAAACCTTCTCCAGATACAACTCTGGTCAGAAATCAACATTCACTTATTTGCAGCTGCTGATCTGCTGATGTTTTGTTGTGTTTTTGGCTTTTGTCAGTGTTCGGTCTGGACTCTGTTTGCTCTGTCATGTGTGTTTCTGTGATCCTGTGCTGTATCTGTCGCTCAGGGACTTATAATAACCAGTATATGGTTGTGGATGTGAGTAAAGTGCATCTGGGCAACAGTCTGGAGGATGGAGCGCTGACTGTAGTCGAGCAGATCCCGGGACTGGTGGAGTATTCAGACCAGACGCAGGCGCTGCGCAGAGGTCAGACTGCAGTAGACTTCACTTTCATTTCATTTTGACTTTGGAGTGAAATGAAACCCGTAAATATTGTACATCTGCTACTATAGTAAATGTTTGTGTCTACAGGTTACTGGCCGTCCTACAATGTGCCATTCCACCGTAAGATCTATGATCTGAGTGGTTACGAGGAGATGTGGAAGGAGTACGGCGAGGATTTTTCCTACGACCTTTGCCCTCGTGCCAAGATCTTCCGCCGTGACCAGTCTTCCGTCAGTGACCTGAACTCCCTTAAACACATCATGAGATACAACGGTAAATAATAGTCACAACATTTACTAACTCCTGACGATGTCACTTATGGAATAGGACAGTATCGTTGATGTACTGTGTTAGTTTTTATTAATATTTTAAATACATTTTTATGTTTGTTTTTTCCCTTTATTGATCTTACATTTTTTCATATATCATTTTTATTAATTTATTCATGTTAGTTTAACTTGAAGTACTAAAATAAATTAAAATGAGAACGATGCAAGCTTAAGTTTTAGTTTTGGGATTATCAATGTCTATATAGTGTTTGTTCATTTTTGTTTGTACAGTTTTTATACATTTTTATTTTAGTTTTAGTTAATTTATGAGAAATGTTGCTTTGTAATTAGCAGAAATAAAATAAGTTCAAGTTATTTTATTTCAAGTAACTAAAACCATTTATTATGGTTTTAGGTTTGATTAATGGTAATAACCCTGGCCGTATCTACAAAAAAATAAATAAATAAATTACAATTAACCTAATACGTTTTAATTCTAGTACTTTGTTGTTCATTTTCGACAGTCAAAGTAAAATAATAAAATTAAAACATAATAGCTTATGTCAGTTTGATTGAATTTAATTGATTCCATAGAAATAAATAAAAAATAATTAAAAGTTGGTTTTCGTTTTAGTTAACAATAATATCACTGGACATATCTACAAAAAAAAAATAATAATAATAATTAAATAAGCTAATATATTTTATTTCATTGTTCACTTATATGGAAGCCCGTTTCCGCCACTGAGAAAAATAAAAAAAAATGTGATTGCGACTTTTTATCTCACAATTTTGACATTTTTTCTTGCAATTGCGAGTTTTCATCTCGCAATTCTGACTTTTTTCTCAGAATTGCGAGATATAAACTCACAATTGCAAGTTATAAACTCACAGTTGCAAGTTATAAAGTCAGAATTGTGGGATATAAACTCGCAATTCTGACTTTTCGCAGTTGCGAGTTTGTATCTCGCAATTCTGACTTTTTTTTTTCTCAGAATTGTGAGATATAAAGTCCGGTTCTGAGGAGAAAAAAAGACTGATATGTTCATAAAGTCAGAATTGCCCATTTATATCTTGTACATTTGACTTCATTTCTCACAATTGCAAGTTTATATCTCACAATTCTGAGAAAAAAGTCAGAATTGTGAGATAAAAAGTCACCATTACCTTTTTTGTTGTTGTTGTTTATTCAGTGGCGGAAACAGGCTTCCATATACTTATGAAAAAATACTACAGGTAAAACATTATATATATGCACAATTTTGTAATTTTATTTCAATTAACATTTATTTTATTTCAATATTTCAAGTGACTATTTTACTGTTTTAGATTCAGTTAACGCTAATATCCCTGGCCATATCTAAAAAAAACATTGAAATTAAATAAGCTAATGTACTATTTTATGGTTAACTTATGATGGTAAAATAAATAATTAATTATGTACTACAATTAAAACATAATAGCTTATTTTAGTTTGTTTTGAAGTTTCCATTGGAATAAATAAAAATAAATAGCCAAACAAAACAAACAAAAAAACAATATATATATATATATATATATATATATTAGTTACTATATTTTGGTTTATTTAGCCTTTAAATATCACAAAATGAAAGCCATTATTATATTATAATAAGGCACATGTTTGTGTCAATCTGTCCTCAGACTATAAGAGTGACCCATACTCGCAGGGCGACCCGTGTAAGTCCATCTGCTGTCGCAATGACCTGCAGGAGCGTCAAGCCAGTCCCGATGGATGTTATGACACCAAGGTCAGCTGACCACCTCTCATTAACCAATCAGAGTGAGTCTTCAGCTCCTGACACTCTGGTGTTCTCTGTCAGGTAACAGATCTGCACATGGCTCAGGAGTTTGTGGCGGAGGCGGTGAATGGCCCGACCACAGACGGAGGGCTTCCCGTCTTCTCCTGGGAGGCGTTCAACAGCACGTCCCATCAGGGTCTTCCTCCGAAATACAACTTCAGCTTCGTCCTGATGCAGCCACAGCTCTTCCGCCCCTGAGGATCATGGGATTTCACATCTGGCCTGCTTTTTAAACTGATTCTCTGTTCGCCGTCTGATGCTAAAATCTGTCGAAATGCTGTTTATTTTGAGCCATAAAATCAGCACTAAACTCTACAGCTGCCATTTGACAATCAGTCCAGGACTGTTTACGTCTCTTTTGATTGATAGATTGAGTAAATCCTAATGTTTTAGGGAAAAGAAAAACACATGCATTGGTAAATCATAATTTACATAAATAATAATTGACATAAAAACTTGAAATTATGATATATGCAAGTCAAAATTACGACGTACTAGGTCAAAATTGACATACTAAGTCATATATATATATATATATATATATATGAAGAGTTTGGTTCCAAAACGCGATAAACGCCATTTTGAGTTTCCTCCAAAATCAGTATTGTATCTGGTCAGTATTGAAAGTCCATTCTTAATTTTACGCAAAATGCGATATCCGCCGAGTTATTCTGTCATGTTTTCTCCCTTTCTTTCCAAACCGCCATATATATATATATATATATATATATATATGTGTGTGTGTATATATATATATATATATATATATATATATTTTGCACACTAAGTTGAAATTGACATGCTAAGTCATAATTATGAGGTAAAATATCAAAATTATGAAACACTAAGTCAAAATTATTATCATAATTATTACTAAGTCATAATTATGATGTAAAATGCTGAAATTTTGACATACAAAGTTGAAATTGACATACTAGGACGAAATTGACATACCAAGGTATAATTATGAGGTAAAATGTTGAAATTACGAAACACTGTTGAAATCGACATACTACGTCAAAATTGACAATCATAATTATGAGGTAAAAGATCAAAACTATGAAACTAAGTCAAAACTGACACTAATTAGGATGTAAAATGCTGAAAGTATGACATATAGAGTTGAAATTGACATACTAGGTCAAAATTTACATACTAAGTCATAGTTTTGAAGTGAAGTTGAAATTATGCCATACTAAGTTGAAATTAAGATCCTAAGTCAATATTATGATGTAAAAACTTAACATTACGGTATACAAAGTCAAATATGATAAAGTACGACATAAAAAGTCATAATTTTGAGGTAAAAAGTTTAAATTATGACATGCTAGATCAAAATCGACATGCCAAGTCATAATTATGACATACTAGTGGTTCAATGGATCACAAATCTCACGGTTCAGATCACATAACAATTTTTGACCCACGGATCGGATCATTTTTCGGATCAGCAAGAAAAGAAAAATATTTCAATTTAACTTGCTTTCCATTTATTACTTAAAGCCAATCACAGCACACCATTCCACGCACTCTAGACAGTAATGGCGCGCTTTGAATACACCCGGCATCCTAGTTTTCCTCATCTACTTTGTACTTATTAAATCTCCATCACGTGCTTTCAAGATGGAGCGGCATTTAATACACAGAGCCGTAGTTCACTGCTATGTCACGTTCATAATCGCAGATGAGTCGCATTCGATTATGAACGCGATGATTGTCGAGATGGGTATTTTGGCATAATTTTAAGTGTATGTGTCTGTTCGGAGGATTCAGAAGAGGATTCAGTTCGGTGTTCGCGTGCTGTCTGAAACACGTGTGCGAGCTTCATGTGTGTGCGGCTGTGCGTGTAGAGAACAGCGCGCGAGTAACGAAACGAGTTCCCTTTCGCCTTTTCTCTCTGGAATTGTTTCAAATTCGCTTGCTTGTGTAAATACGAACAAATTATAATTGTATACCCTATTATGATTGTTTAAAATTCGCTTGCTTGTGTAAATACGAACAAATTATAAACTTATACTCTATTATGGTTCAATTTTGCAATTAATCCACGGATCACATGCGTGCCGAACCGTGGGGCTTGGTCCGTACGGATCACGGATCAACTACGATCCGTTTAACCACTAGTATGACATACTAGGTCAAAATTGACATAAATATGACTTTTCTTCTCATAAATATAACCGACTTTTTAACCTCATAAATATGACTGGCGTCATTTATTTTTTTTGACACTTCACATCATAAATGTTACTTGGTATGTCATAATTTTGACTTTTCATCTCAGAAATATGATTTAAGAGTGTCACAATTTTGACTTGTCATAATTATGATTTACCGAAGCATGATTCTTTTTTGTCTGAAATGGGTTTCCATATATTACTGCAACACAGATGAACATGTTTAAAGGGAGGACGTCAATATCATTGTCATTTTTTAAATCTAGTCAAAGACCCTAATGAACAACATGAGCAGAGAAACAAAGTTTGTGGATGTAAACGACTGGAATGTCTTGTTGACGTGTCTGCTGTCGCTGTGACATTTCTTACATTTTCAGATCTCTTCTCTCAGGGATGGTGACTCAGAAGTGCCTTCGTTAGTATTTGAGTGTGTTTTATCTTCAGCTTTGAATGTCTGTGAGCATCGCTGTCAGTCAGCATGTTTGTAATCTGTGCCGCATGTGATTTTCTCTTAGATTCGACCAATGAATGAATGAACACAAGCCTCATTTATGAGTCTTGAGTGTTTTTGTTGGACACATGTTCACTAATTCAGTCAGTTACTCTAAACTTGTGCTCGACTGAAGCTTTTGATCGGTTTTTTATTACAGTAATTTGAGGATAGGAGGATAGTTTTCTATCGGATAAAATATTTTAGAGCTCAACTTAACTTGAAAAATGTATGTTCATTTACAACCCCAACTCCAGAGAAGTTTGAACATTTTGTAAAATGCAATAAAATCAAGAATCTGTGATTTGTTCATTCTCTTTCACTTTTATTTAATTGAGTCAGTTTTCACTGACCAACGTAAATGTATTTTGTAAATATGAACAAATTTTGTTTTTGACGGCTGCAACACATTCCAAAAAAGTTGGGACAGAGGTAAAATAAAAGTGAAAAGGTTATAGAATATCCACTTTAAACAGTTTTGGAACAGTTCACAGTAAGCAGGTAAATTAGTAATAGGTCAAGGTATCATGTTTGGCTATAAAAGGAGCATTTCAATCTTTGCAAGCAAAGCTGGATCATGGCTCATCACTTTGTGCCAAATTTCACGAGAGAAGTGTCAAACAAATCAAAAATCACATTTTGCAATGCAAAATTGCAAAGAATTTAGGTCTTTCACCAAGTACCATACATAATATTGTGAAAAGATTCAGGGAATCCAGAGAAATCACAGTACATGTAGGGCAAGGCAGGAAACCTCAGTTGAATGTGACCTTTGAGCCCTCAGATGGCATTGCATAAGAAACCGTGATGCTGCGGTGTTAAATATAGCCACATGGGCTCAGGAGTACTTCAGAAAACTGCTGTCACTTAACACAGTCTGCTGCTGCATCAAGAAATGCAACTTGAAACTCTGTTACTCTAGGAGAAAGCTATACATCAATTATATGCAGCGATGCTGCCGGGTTCTCTGGGACACAGCTCATCTCAGATAGACATGGAGGCATATATTGGGATTGTACAGAGATATATACTGCCATCAAGATGACGTCTTTCATGGGAAGTCCATGGCTATTAGATCAAGACAATGCCAGCTCTCATTCTGCATGTGCTACAACAGCATGGTTTCATAGACACAGAGTGAATGTGCTAGATTGGCCTGCCTGCAGTCCAGATCTGACTCCTGTTGAAAATGTATGACCAGTCATGAAAAGACAACAACAATCACAGACTGCTGAGCATCTGAAGTATTGTATCAAGCCAGACCGGACAAAAGTTTTACTTGCAGAACTTTAACGATTCGTTTTCTCAATAACTAAACAATTAAACATTGTAATTAAAAGAACCGTTGATGTGACACAGTGTTAAACATGCCTCTGTCCCAACTTTTTTGGAGTGTGTTGCAGGCATCAAAATCAAAATTTGTTAATATTTACAAAATACATTTACGTTGGTCAGTGAAAACTTTGGAAATCTTTTCTTTGTACTTTTGTCAATTAAATCAAAGTTAAAGAGAATTAACAAATCACAGATTCTTGATTTTATTGCATTTTACAAAATGTCCCAACTTCTCTGGAGTTGGGGTTGTAAGATTTTACTTACTTCCATGAGTTTTTTAAGATTTTTGTTTTTGTGTTTAGAGATTGCATTTTTTTTCATGACTTTTCCAGGTCTAAAAATCACACTTCTAATATTCCCTCATAAACATCTTGATTTTTAGAAGTTTTAGCTTAATTGAAAATCTTGTTTTGTCTTATTTTTTTAATCATTTTAAGTTGCGGCCTGCTGGTTGAGAACCGCTGTTTTATTAGATCAAATCCATCTGTGTTATTTCTCCATCTGTTGATGTTGTTTCCTCTTTCTCTCTGTTTATCTTCATTTCTTTTGCTCTGCTCTAATTTCTCTCGAGACCTCTCGACCTTCTCTTTTCTCACAAATGAACTGAAATGATAGAGTCATCATTATTCTTCTCAGCTGTGATGGAGAGGAGATAATCTGCTCCTGGATGACTTAAACCATTACTGAGTATTTTGTGAGTTATACCATTAGTGAGTATTAGTATGTATTTTGTCTAGTGTACATCTAGTTCACAGTAGTTTCATTTACATGTTTCATTTTTGCATTTAACATTTACTCTGCTGCATTAAATCATACATTTTCAGTTTTGGTTTTAAACATTTAGAGGAAAAGGAAACAATGTGCATTTTTGTGGTGAGGAAACCGAAAAAGTCTGACTATGACGTTCATTTGTATTTTACAGGCTGATTTTAAGGCAGTTTTACACAATGAAGGATTTATATATTGTCAGTTCAAAATATAATAATTTATTCATCTTCATGTCATTCCAAACAATGTGTTTTTGTTTTGTTTTGTCCATAAAATGAAAGTCGCTGGGGTCCAAAGTTGCTTATACCCCAACATATTTTGTTACGCAGAAGAAAGTAAGTCATAAGGAAAATGATGACAACTTTGATGACAAGTGAACTATCCCCTTACTCAATACAGTACACAGTATGTAGTGCAAAAACAGGATTTGCATACTTTATCCCCAAATTGTAAGTCGCTTTGGATAAAAGCGTCTGCAAAATGACTAAATGTAAATGTAATGTGATTTTCTATTCACTAAAAATCTCCAAAACACCAGCTGATACAAACACATAATGAAGAAAAGTGACAATATTGAGAAAAGACCCTGCAGATAAAGACCCTTGATCTGATGAATCCCATTCAGCCATTTAAACATTGGTTTGCGTTATCTATCTTAAGAAGTAGTGCAGATAACAACATGTGGTTAAAAATAAAGTTCAGTTTCCTTCTGCTCGTCTGTTTCACTCTTTGTCTCTCTAGAGATTCGTTCAGTGATTCATTCTCTCCGACATCACAAATGAAGAAGTGAAACAGTGCTGTGTTTCTCTCACCTCCCGTGATCTCTCCTCTGCCTTTATTCTCATCAGTTTTATCAGTAGTGATGGAGAGGAGAGCATGTCCTCCTGGTTCTCAGTGGGATTCTCTGCTCAAGCATTGCATCTCCCACAGATCCCTGGGACTGACACCATCAGGTGAGTGACACTCTTGAGCAGATCCGTGCAAGATGGTGTGTTTTATGTTGAGTTGGATGCTTTCGTTGCTCTAGCGGTTCCTCCGCCGGTCCTGAAGCCGGTGCTGAGCACCAGAGGTCTGGATGAGTCCTGGTCCTCCATCAGCCCCAGCGTGTGGATCTGTGTCGGGCTGGTCGTGAGTGTGTCGGTTCTGGTGCTGCTGCTTTGGTTCATCATCTACAGATGCCACAGCAGGACCTCACAGAGCACAGGTAAGGTCCAAGACTATATAACTCACTTTCATTATGAATCCCTTGCTTTTTGTCCGGCCAATGAACAAGAAAAACACTGACAGCCAATCAGAATCCATTTGACTTTAAAGAGCTCCTTATCAGAAATGTCCTGCTTATCAGTCTGAAGTCATAAATAATGTAGGTTCATTCTTGCCTGTTTCTTGGGGAAATCTTAATAAAGCCTAAATATATTGAAGATAACTTAGTCAATAGCTAGCATATCTTGCAGACAATTCTGGAATTTCAGTCAAATTAATGCTGTTTCGGCTGTGTAAAATAAGTAGCCTATATTTACATGATTATTTAGGCTATATAGCCTACCTAAATATACTACTCTAACTGCAAGAGAAATCAGTGAAATTGTTGTGGGAAAACTAATAACTTAACAGACTTGAGAGGCTGTTAATGGCTAATTTCCGATTACCCTTACGAAAATTAACCTTGTTTTACTACAAATAAAACCAAAAAAAAAAAAAAAAGAAGATGCATGCATTTGAAGTAAAACTGTGTTTATAAATGATAATCAATATGCCAACAAAAAAAAAACATGGTTTCTAGACTTTTACTACCATGTTTAATTTTCATAAGGACAGAAAACTCGTATTTATGATATTTCCGATAGCAGGTGAAGTCGACAGATAATTATGTGTATGCTAATATAGTTAACAGAATTTAAAGCACGTCAGTGAACCCGTTTTTGTAGGACAGCGGAACAAAAACAAACGGTCTAGAAATAGCATATTTTAAAGTGACACGCCGTTGTAATAGACGTGATTACAGCAGTCGGACATTTAGCGCACATTTATGTAGAAAAAAATCTAAGGAAAAGCAGCGCAGTGGAATGCAAAACGTGTTTGTTCAGTAGCCTAAATGAGTTTCTAACCAACGAACCTCACGCACACACTTTAGTAAGTTTCGGTTCCTTGTTGGGGTCAAGAGGGTGGTGGGGGTCTTCAGGGACGGTCCCATGTCTCATGTCTCCTTTCCACACACACACATGCATCCGTTACCTCAGGACGCAGTACAGGTCTTATAAGCTAGCGGAAAACCCAACGACACTCCTATTTGCTAAATTTAACCCCTGCGGTTTCAGATTTAAACAGGAGGTCAGTAAGTTGAGCGTTTATTACTGTTCACACGTCTACGTGGTTGTGATTCAGTGATGTTATTCTGTGGTCAAATATTTGTGACTAACAAACGAAGGCTACCCGAATTTTGCCTTTGAATCAGTTGTTTTCCCTGTTGCTCGACCATTCCAGAACTGTTTTGTGACACCATATCCGTAAACATGAACCGACCTGAAAACACGAAATCGTCCATCACACAGAACATTATTTTACTTTCTACCACGCTGGGTTTCCGTTCTTGTTCCGTTGTAATGAGCTTGTGGTTATTTTTTTTACCACCATTATTCACATACCCCCCTGCACAGCAGTTTATTTACGTCTAATGCAAAACACTTTTGTATGGTTGCATTCCGAATTTGTTCTCTGGTTCTTGTGTATCCGGCCTCAGACATTTTTGTTGTGATGCTCCTAAAAATGTCCTCTTTTCGATGTTTTCATCTGTTAATGTACTGCATTATATAAACGTCGACAACATGAACTCTGTTTTTCTCGGCTCCCCAGAAATGCGATGCTTTCTTCCCCGCCATCGTTTCTAATCTACGTATTAATACAGGTGCGTGTCACATCATTCATGTACGTCATGAGCACATGCGCACTTTGGTCAGAGCGGCAATAATGCGATTAAGGTGTTTACATGCCTGTATATTGCGATTAAGATCTGCGTACACTGTATGTTAAAACGATTATGCTTGTTGCGATTATGAGCTTAATCGCATTATTTAGATCGAAGTATTGCGTTTACATGAGGTAAAGTTTATTCGCAATCTTCCCAAAATCTCATTATAATCGTATTAAGAGGGTGCATGTAAACGCACTGAGTGTTGTCTATCTGTCCTGCAGGTGAAAAGGACTCTACGCCTCACACCCCGACAACCATAGAACAGGAAGAGGAAGCCCCGTCACCTTGGCCGCACTTCAATGGCCAGACACAGGAAATGCCAATCAAAGAGGGACCCTGTGGGCGGAGCCTGTGTAATGGATGGGCAGAGCATGGGCTGCCACTTCCTGCCACAGAATTGGGAAACTCCGCCCTCGTCACCACCAAAACCGGACAACCTGTATAAGTCTGAAGAGTAATGTGAACAGCAGAATTAATACATAGGGTAAATAATCCAACATACCAGTTGTACTCTTGATATGAATCCAGCTCGTATTCATATTCACTTCAAACTATAGACCTCATGAAATCAAAACTGCAGTTCTAAAAGAACTTTAAGGACGTTCACATGGAAAACACAAGGTCGCGTTTTAGCTGAACAACTCCGGACACGGCGTTCTAAAACGCGCAGCTCTTACGTGAGACGCTATAAAAGGTGTGCATGTTCCTCTAGTGCATGTTTACATGGAAAACAATAGAAAATCAGCAGAGTGAAATGCAAAAAAAGTGTTCTGTGTGAATGCCCAGTAAAAAAAAAAACACCTTGAAACCTTGTGTTTTTCCATTTGCTTTTTTAACAGTCCCTTATTCTGTACGATCTCACTGCGCATTGACATCATTGAGATCAGGTGTGAAATCTGAATCATAATGGGACCATGATTCATAAGAAGATAGAGTTTTTCTCCTCTGAGGAAGAAACTTTCTGAGTAGTTTTACATAAGTTACATTTATCCCACTCAGAACTTAAAGATGGCACTCAACTTACTATTTACATAAAGAGTATGACATTGATAAATGCAATCTTTCAGTTAGTACATTTACATGGACAACAATAATCCGATTTTAACACGATTAAGACAATACACCGATTAAGAATCTACCATGTAAACAGAGATTTTTGATTACCTTAATCCGGCTAAAGTCATATTCGAAGTAAACAGAAATCGAATTAAGACGTGGAGTATTCCTATTTTAGTCGCATTATCGAAGTGCAGTATCGACATGTACACACATGAATCACACTATTACTGTCGTGTAGGACTTTTCGCTGCATTTTGCGACAGGATACACACACGGCAGTGCTCAACCGTTTGACGGCAAATAAAAGAATGGCTTCAATAACATCGTCGTCTTTGCATTTATAGTATGACAAATAATTAACTGCACTTGAAGCTTTCAGTAAATAAAAAATTAAACACCCAAAACTGTATATGGCATCATAATGAAGACGAACTATATGTTTGTTTGTGAAATTCTGGAGGGGACGTCGGATGGCGTATTTAGATCGAAGTATTGCGTTTACATGAGGTAAAGTTTATTCGCAATCTTCCCAAAATCTCATTATAATCGTATTAAGAGGGTGCATGTAAACGCACTGAGTGTTGTCTATCTGTCCTGCAGGTGAAAAGGACTCTACGCCTCACACCCCGACAACCATAGAACAGGAAGAGGAAGCCCCGTCACCTTGGCCGCACTTCAATGGCCAGACACAGGAAATGCCAATCAAAGAGGGACCCTGTGGGCGGAGCCTGTGTAATGGATGGGCAGAGCATGGGCTGCCACTTCCTGCCACAGAATTGGGAAACTCCGCCCTCGTCACCACCAAAACCGGACAACCTGTATAAGTCTGAAGAGTAATGTGAACAGCAGAATTAATACATAGGGTAAATAATCCAACATACCAGTTGTACTCTTGATATGAATCCAGCTCGTATTCATATTCACTTCAAACTATAGACCTCATGAAATCAAAACTGCAGTTCTGTGGATCTCAGTTCATGATGTTGTCAGAGATCTTAACATGGAAGGAGATGCAGAAAACGATTCACCAGCAGTGGCATCTGTCAGTCCTCAACAAAACCTTTTAAAGATGAATATTTTCTTGTGTATATTTTGGGAGATCTCCAGCACACAGATGAGTCATATTTGTTCATTAATGTTTATTTGGCTTTGTGATGAATTGCTTTTGTTCCGCTCGCTTTGGATAAATGTGTCTGCTAATTGCATAAAAACAGATGTATAATTTTTTTCCCCCACTGATTGTTCATTAATAAGCCAGTTTGGTTAATAAACCATCTAAATAAAATACATATTGTTCTTTTATTGACTATGTGAGAAAGAAACAGTTGTTTATGAAGTCATATTGTACATTACATACATCATTCATATTACAATAAACACATTCAGAATGAATAAATGATAGAATAAACAATCAAATCTAAGGAGTTAGGAATACAGTCATACAGTTAAATACATACAGGTGTGTGTGAGTGTGTGTTTTCTACAGGTATGTTGTGGGGTCGTTCAGGTGCAGGTATTCGGGCTGCCCATCGCTGCTGTGTCTCTGTGTTCGCCGCTGGCGAGTGGAGAGAGTTTTGCGCCGCTCGTTCCCACGTTTGTCCAGCGTGGAGACGATCCTCTCAGCCAAATCCTGCTGCAGACGCTGGAAATTCTCTCTGACGAGCAAAAGACACACAGAGAGAATCAGTGTGCCTGTGTGTATTACTGATCTTACACATATGAAAGCTTGTTTCAACCACAGAATAAAAATATAAAAAGGTAATTGTTCATTTTTATCTCACAATGATGACTTCTTCATCAGAATTCTCAGTTTATGTCTTGCAAAAAAAAAGGTAATTGTGACTTTTTATCTCACAATTCTGACTTTTTTTCTTGCGATTGTGAATTCATATCTCGTAATTCTAACATTTTTGTTTCTCAGCTGGTTTTTTCAACAGGGGTATAGCATGACAAATAATTAACTGCACTTGAAGCTTTCTTACAATTAAAAATGAATCACCCAAAACTGTATATGGCACCAGACCAAAGACGAACTGCATACGAGAAATTCAGGAGGGAACGTCGGATGGTGTCGCATGGGGACGTAATGACGTGTGCCATTAATCAAACTATGTACTATAACATGTAAAACGGGAACATGAAAGGAATATTCTAAAAGCAACTCATGTAAACACCTTAATCGTAATACTGTCTTATTCAGAATAAGGTAAATAATTAGATTACTGATGTGTAATTACTCCATGTAAACGTATAGAGTGACGGTGTTTACATGCGCATGAATAATGTGATTATTTCTAATAATCGGAGTAAGGACTTAATAGCATTATGATGTTTACATGTCAAGAGCAAAGCTCTTCAGCGATTGTGAATTCATATCTCGTAATTCTAACATTTTTGTTTCTCAGAATTCTGAGTTTATATCTTACAATTGTAACTTTGTTGTAACAATTGTAATGTCTCACGATTCCATTTTTTTTTTCTTGGCTAAACTTGCACTTCCGACTTTTTTTCCTCAGAATTCTCAGTTTACATCTCACAATTCAGTTTTTTTTGTTTCCGCCATAGAATAAAAAATGTAAAAAATGCTAAGTTTGACTTTTTATCTCACAATCCAACTTTTTGTCCAGCAAATGTGAGTTTATATCACGATTGCGAGTTAACAGCTCCCAATCCCAGTTTTTTTTTCAGAATCCTTGCAAATACGAGATATAAAGTTGCAAAATTCTTCCTAAACAAGCTTCCATATTAATACGTTTAACCAAAGTCCCTTTAAGGCAAGTCATGTCACTCGGCGTCCATCTTTGAAACGCCTCTCAGGCATGCAAGTGCAGCTCCTATCTCTTTGATTGGGGAAACATCAAATTCTCCAAAACTGTTCGCCAAGCTTACGATTAAATTTCATATTTGAAATCACCAATGAAATCTGATAACAACTGTCTCATAAATGTTGTTCATTATGCTCCAATAGTATTAAATAAACAACAACTTATTTTTCAGGCTAGACCAGCCAGTACGCATGCGCAGTCCTAAGTGCGCGTCTCCAGAACGCTGACGTATTTCTATAGCAACCGGTACTTCTAACGCATAGTTCTAACGGCATCTGCACTTGTGCGATTGGCTCTTTTACTCAGTAGGCGGTGCTTCCTTCAGTAGAGCAGCCATATTGAGGGTTGCATTTTTCCCCCATTCAAAACTACACGAGTGGCAGGTCTTGGGTATTCTATAGTCTTTGGTTTAACACAGTGTTTTTATTTTACAAAACTACAATATATTTTGTGAAAGGCATTTTAAAAATAAATAGAGAGTAGAAAAAATATACACTCTCTGTTCTTTCTTTTGGCTTATTTTTATTGGTGAAGCAAAAGAAGATATTGTGTCTGAAATGCTATGTTGTATTAAAATAACATCAGTTGTTGTGAATGGTGGCCTTATGTTGCGCTGATAATAACTCCAGCATGTGTAAAAGATTTACTGATGTATTCTGGGAGTATTTTATGATCACAAGACGAGTGCTGGAAGTCTTACGCTGTTGGTGGTGTCGGCAGGTTGTATTTCTGCCCGGTGACTCCTGTCAACCAGTAAGTCATCTCCTTTCCTTTACCCTGAAACGCAAACACACGCGCTATGAGTTTCTGCTTTTATTTTTAACTCTTCATTAACAGTTTGTGATTGTCCAAGTGGACTAAAATAAGAGATTGTGATTGGCTGGAAGGTAATATAAGAGCCTGTGATTGGCCGCCGACTCTCCTCTCACCTTCAGGTATGTTTCTCCTCGGTGCTCGCACTCAAATTGACAGTCGGTTCGCTGCAGGATCTTGATGGTCGACTCGCTCACGTGAATCCTCAGAGCTGGAAACACATCAGCTGTTTCACTCAAAGTGTGTGTGTGGGTGTGTGTATGTGAATGTGTGTGTTTGCGTCTTACGCAGGCCTGTAGACTCCATACGTGATGCCGTGTTGACCGTATCTCCAAACAGACAGTAACGTGGCATCTTATTACCCACCACACCAGCCGCACATGGACCTACACACACACATGTGACTAGTGAGAGTAAGTTAGTGACTACACCGACTGCACATTATTATCTTGAGTCTATTTACCATCATTTATAATTTTATATATACAAAAAAAAAGATTTTCAAGCTGATGTTGCTGGGCAGTTGCTGGGCCTCGCTATGTGGTTGCCGGGCAGTTGTTAGGGCCTCACTATGTAGTTGCTGGGGTATTGCTATGCAGCTGCCTGGCAGTTGCTGAGGTATCACTATGTGGTTGCTGGGCCTCGCTATGTGCTTGCTGGGCAGTTGTTAGGGCATCACTATGTAGTTGCTGAGGTATTGCTATGCAGCTGCCTGGCAGTTGCTGAGGCATCGCTATGTGGTTGCTGGGCAGGTGCTGGGGCATCGC